AAGTGCGTGTGCTGTTTCTTCCTCCTCGTATGCGTCTATTCATCACTCACTCAATTATTCTATCATTCCATTCTTGTGCTTTATGGTTGCTATCACTAACAGGTAGTGACACCTGATCTAGTCCAGTACTGCGGTCCAATTCTCTCCGTGCTTTGGACGATGTCCGTGTGGTTTGATTATTCGATGCAAAGATGCTGTTCCATGTCATTTTTTTGCTTTCCTCGTTCACTCTGTCTCCAGAATGATTACACCTAAACTCGCTTGGCATCAATAGAGCATAAGACCCAGGTACACGGATGATTATTATTATTACTGTTAGCAATCGAAGAACCAGATCGAACGCAATCTACTGTGAACAAGAGGGAAAAGCGATATACTACACGCACACCCACTCATTTATGTGCGCTCAAATCACAGGATCAAACAGAGTAACTTTTTAGAAGGGAGAACACATTTCGATCAGAATTTCACAGGTTTTGACTAAAAGTTTTCATCAGTGATTTTTCGTGTTTTTTAAAATCGTTTTCTGTTTCAGTACTCGTTTCATCCTCTATTATGGTCAATGCAAAGTGCTATTATCATTTCCCTTGTCACAATCCAGTACGCACTTATTATATGAGACATAGAAATCAGTTGTCATTGTGAAGCTGATTCACATGGCCAAAAAAACGGGATGTTATGATATGTGTAGGGGGGGGGGAAGGACCACTTACATTGAATGGCGGATAAAATTCGAGCTCGATGTATAGCATTGGTTACATGACAATCCTCAGCCAGTGCCGAGTCCGTCAAGAAAGGTAACAACGATCGATCAATACCGGCTTTTAGTAGTGCATACGTGTACTGAATCAGGTCTGTGGATGTGTTCAGCTGTGGTGGGATGAGTGGGTTGTTCTGGCCCGATGCTGTAGTTGATGATACACTGTTTACTGGCACCAGGGCTGTACTGGTTCCATTCGACGAGGTTGACTCGACCATATCGCTGTTAGGGACCCGTGGACTTGGGATCAGACTGTTGGCCCATGCTAACCAACCGGCCAAATTGGACGGATCTATCAGGGAATAGTCCGCCTCACTCTTCAAACGTTTTAACTCACGTATTAATCTGTAACAAACATTCAAATGATAAGATAAATGAAAGGGGGTTTAAAAGAAAACGAGTTAAAATGGTTTGAGTCGCTCATAAGAACTGCCTGTGAACACGAAATTGACAAAACAGTCTTACCTATGACGTCGAAGTAATGACAGTTGACTGCTTCTGAGGAGGTGGAATGCATTAGAAGTGGATATCCGTGGTACTCTACCTCATTCCAGGCTCCCCAATGCAACGTATTTGGAGTAAATATGCTAACGAAGTCCCACATTGACTCGAAATAAATAAAAATTCCGGAACCGATGAATGGTACACAAATAGTTTCGTTCACCTCCATGATTCAACATATTCAAATAATGCACAAAAACGTAACCCCGGGCCCATCGATTGTGAGACATCCTAGTACGATAGGTCATCGAGTCAACCTTACTGAGTGGCTCAAATTCGTGTTACATAATCAATGATCTAAGTTGTTGACCATTTGTGAAATTACACAGAAACCATCACTCTTCCCCGCAGCTCATAAAATTCTCAACCCCTTTTCGAAACTTTACCCTGGTCTAAAAAATAAATCAATAAGACATACGTTGAGGAATCCTTTTCATTCTCTTAACAGAATTGTACTGTTCATACTCCAAATTATATATACATTTCCCAAACTATTTTTCATCGCATCTTGATTCGTTCCATTTCTTCCTTTGCTTGTTGGACTTGCTAGGACTGATTTGACCCAGTGGGTCTATCCATCGGTCCAACTGTGTTCCCTCACGGGTAACCCGTAGCACCTTCGTCAATTAGTTGATCATCCCCACCACTCTATGCTCTCCTTACACGTAACCCGGTTGGCATCCACCGGTCCACCGATGGACACACAAACGCACGCGCATACAAGTTCATTGTTCCCGTCCATCACGCGATTGGAACTTTTCTCCCGTATACTTGATTGACCCCTATGCATATGTGCTGGTCACCTAATGCATTGAACTTGAGTGAACTGCAGTCGTCTAGTCGAACCCTTTAACAGTCTTTGAAGGCTCCTCTGGGCACAGTAGAACGCTATTTTACTTTGACGCACTATCACTTGATTTTGCTTTGATAGTGCAAACATGCACTTCGCGATTTGCCTCGCGATTTGAGTAGCGCAGTTCAAGATAATTTTGGCTTCTGTTGACTTAGGGATCACTCGATCGTCAGGGTGGAATTCTAGCGAGAAATCCACAACACCGAATCTTCTCCAGCAATTTCACATATGTATAAATGGTAACTCCGTGGGGAAATTCTACGTAAGTGATCAAGAAAGATTCAATGCTTTTGCCTTGTGACACCATTCTATGACTATAGACCTCCATTTGATGATTTGAATAGCACGATCCCTACTGTCACGTGTGTCGTAGCTGTGGTTTCAAGTCTATTGCATACCGTTCCCGGGAGGGGATAAAGTTAAAGTAATCTATGGGAGACGGTTTTCTGACAGGTGGTGCCGCTTCTGACGGATTGGATACTTCGCCTGTGGAATTGAAATTTTACATAGTTCACTACTCAGCACCAAAGCACATAGTTAACATAAGCCTTACCTTAATCGTACAATACCATTGAGTATGTCCAAATCGTTGCATAGCATTGTTTCATCCAGACACAATAAAAGGTCTCCGTCCACTCGTAATTCGGTGAATTTTGGCACAAGTTGGGTAAATCCGGTCTAGAAGAAAAAGGAAACAGAGACCACAGACTGTACAAACGATTGATAAAATCTCACTTGTTTTCATTTGACTGCTAAAATGATGTGCTTGGTCTACGCAATGTAAACGATGTGGACACTTAAGTTGAATAGAAAATTACCGATAAGAATTTGGAAGTGAACTCGAATGATGTTGTTCTGCTGTGTGGGGTGGTGGTGGTACTGGAGAGGGGGGGGGGCTAGAGTGACGAGATCCGGAGCGAGGACAAGATGTGTGATTATCATGGTAGGTGAGGTATAGAAAGACAGTCACATAGATGTTAGGATCGGTTCAATAACACTGCGCGAAAGAACACGTGTGACTGGAGTCTGAAGTTTATCTCACCAAATCAGTGCAGCAGCCACTGTGGTCGAATTGTTCCTAATTCCTGTGATCCCATTCTGCGTTTACTTCTTCACTTGTTCCTGTGAAACAACGTGCATCGGTCGCACGTAAGCACCATCCGAGCGCAATCCATCCACATCTTGTCCAATCAGGTCACTGAGTTGACTTGACCAGAGCATTTTGTCCCCCTCTAAGCGGATTAAACGTCGCATCATTGAAGCAGTGGGAATTCGCATTCACAACCCACTCTTGTGCTTGCAATGCAATTTAAGAAATCATCGTATCCTCCCATGGAACTTACACCCCCACCCCATTTACACCATCCCTCCTAGTCTTCGGAAAACCCGGACTGATTACATAATAGAAACAGTAGATATCATCTAAATTCTTTCAAGTTTATTAATTCACTATTATTATTCTTGTGTAAATACTATCTCCGCCTATCCATGTTTTATCCGAGTTATATGACTTGCGATGTATTGGACAAAGAGCACAAATTACTGAAAGTAATTTTTGTTTGGCACATCGCGTTCTATTCAAAACAATTATTGCCCTTTAACTTTTGTGTCCCGGTTTTGGTTGCTGTCATTCGGCGATCTGTTTAGTTGACTAATGAGTAAATCCTGAACAAAAAAGAGTTCACACTTAATTTGCTCTATACAAGACGAAATTCGCCGAAGAATCCAGTCCAATCAGTGGCTACTCGTGAAAAAAGTGAAACATTGGGTTTTGTGTATCAGACAACGTTTCAAGCGCTTTGTTTGTGATTAATTCCAGTGGGGGGAAATTTGAGAGAGGTGATAATTGTACCATTTTGTTGTTTTCTAATGAAAAACACAAATCGGTTTCATGCATCAAGCAATTTATACGTAGCGTTTAAGCATGATCTGACTACAAACGAACGATAGCCATAATCACATATCTGCGAACGGATAGATAAGGAGCTGACAATGATGTGATCCAAGCGTTCAGTCTGTTCGTTGAATCGAATTGCCTTACAATGTCTCTGATGGATATTATTTACGGGATATACAAACAATTGCCAAAATGAAAGAAGGGTGGATGAAGATTTTAGTGAACTACTCGTACAAGAATTGCGCCGCATTCGTGTTTTCATCCAAAGTTGCAATGGGGATGCATAAAGATTGCGAAAAACTGGCGGGATGGTGGAATTCAAATCTACTGTTCACTGTCCA